ACGTGAACAAGCCCCAGCCTGCCCACGCGCCCCCACCCCCTCCCCTCCCCACCCCCTCCCCTCCCCACCACCCCTCAGTGACACTCACAAAAAGGCTAATTGTCATTATCACTGGGGTTTGGAAAGCGGAGGGAGTGTGTGTGTGGGGGGGTTGGGAGAGGGTGGGGAGTTAGAGGGAAGAGCCCTGCTTCTCGTGTGTGTGTGTTGGTGTTGGTGTGTGTGTGTTGGTGCGCATGTGTTGGTGTGCGTGTGTGTGTTGGTGTGCGTGTTGGTGTGCGTGTTCGTGCGTGTTCCAGTGTGCTCGAGTGTGTTCGTGCGTGTGCCTGCGTGTGTTCATGCGTGGTTTTGTGTGTGTGTTCGTGCGATCTCGGATCATCACTTAATCTCCTTTCACTCCTCAATCCCTCTCCCATCACCACGTAACCCACTTCCACCTCCTACCGCCACTGGAAAAAAATCTGTCTAAACTCCACCCCCTCTGGGCTTCCTCCCACAATGACCTATCCTCCTCGGTCACTCTCCTCCACAACTCCCTCTCCTCCACTCTCGATTCCCTCGCTCCCCTCTCTTCCTGAACCATCTCTTATTTGGAGTCCTGTAGCTCAGTGGTTAGAGCACTCGCTTTGCAAGCGAGAGACCTGAGTTCAATTCCAGGCAGAGGGCGAAACCTTGGGCAAGTTTCCTTACTCCACACAGAGCCTAATAATAATCCCTCCAAAAAACCAAAAACAATAATTAAATTGGTCATTTTTAATCTACGACTGTTTGTGGACATTGCTGTGCGCAATTGGCTGCCGCGTTCGCCCACAAATATACAGTCAATTCACTTTACAGTGTGTTCTGTGAAGCGCTTTGGGACGTCCTCCCGACATGAAAAGCGCTATATCAAATGCAAGGATTATTATTATTATTATTATTATTTACTCAAGTCACCCTTGTACACCAGCCACCTCCACTCCCTTAAAGCACAGGTGCAGAGCACTGAGCGCACATGGCTTTAATCAAACTTAATGGTCCATCGGCAGATCTGGCTGGACCTTATCAAATCCTACCGCTCCGCCCTCGCCTCCGCTAAATTGTTGTTCTACTCCAAGACAATCTTGGAGGCCAAGGACAACCCCAGGCTCCTCTCCTCCATCACCAACCGGCTCCTTTGCCCACCCTCTCATGCCTTGCCCATCCTCACCTCCAATACCAACTGTGAGGCGATGCTGGACTTCCTCGAATCCAAAGTCGAGGGAATCCGCTCAGCTGCCTCTGCCATTCCATCTGCTAACCCCTCCTCATCTCCTCCTCCCACCCGGGCCCCCACCCATCCCTCTATCCAAACCTTTGAAACCTATCTCCCATTCCTCTCTCATCACCACTATAACCCATATGAAACCGCCCACCTGCTCCCTCGACCCCATCCCTACTCCTCTCCTTACCACCCAGCTCCACCTCCTTGCCCCTCTACTCACTGACATCATAAACCTCTCCCTGTCCTCTGGTGTTGTTCCCACCCCATTAAAAACCTCCATCAACACTCCTATCCTTAAAAAAAACCCTCCCTGGACCCATCACTGCTCTCAAACTACTGCTCCATCTCCAACCTCCCTCTCCTCTTCCAAGTTCTGGGAACGAGTTGTTGCTTCTCAGCTTCGCTCCTTCCTCATCTGCCACTCCCTTCTCAAATCCCTCCACTCGGGTTTCTGTTCCGCCCACAGCAAATGACATTCTGTCCATCTGTGACCAGGGGTCCCTCTGCCTCCTTGTCCTCCTTCACTTCTCTGCTGCCTTCGCCTTCCGTATCCACTCCCTCTCCTCTCACTTCAACCTTCACAGCTCTGTCCTTGACTGGTTCAGATTGTATTTCTCCCACTGCCTCCACTTCATCTGCACTAATGGTTTCTCCTCTAGCCCCCGCACCGACTCGTGCGGCGTTCCTCAGGGCTCTGTCCTTGGTCCCTTCCTCTTCAATATCTATATGCTCCCTCTTGGTGACATCATCCGCAGATATGGGGTCAACTTCCACGTGTATGCGGATGACACCCAACTCTACCTCTCTGCTTCCACCCTTGACTCCGGGACCATTCCTGTCCTGACAGAATGTCTGTCAGACATCAAGTCCTGGATGAGAACTACGTTTCTTCAGTTGAACGTCAACAAGACTGAGGCTCTACTGATTGGCTCCCGTCAGCGCCTCCACACCTCAGGCACAGACAGCATCACCATCCATGGTTGCACACTCCACCTCACTGAGCCAGTCCAGAACCTTGGGGTCTTGTTTGACCCTCAACTATCCTTTCTATCCCACATCCATTGCCATGACCCGCTCTGCCTTCTCCACCTCCGTGTACAAGGAGGTGGAGCTGGCCTTGGGCATCAACAGTGGCTACAGCAAACGGACGCTGATCAGTCTGCACCCCAACATCAAGGTGGGCAGTGGGGGCCGGGGCACACACGGGGGTCCCACATAGTGTGTGTGTTCGTCTGTCTGTATCCTTGTAAAGGGGCGCTATATAAATGCGTGTTGTTCTGTGTGTGTGTGTGTGTGTGTGTGTCGCGCGTGAACAACAACAAAGTTGGATTTATATAGCGCCCTCCACGCCGGATGGTGTCTCAGAGTGTCAGTGTGTGTGTGTGTGTGCGTCAGTGTGTGTGCGTGCGTGCGCTTCGGCGTGTGCGCGTCGGTGTGTGCGCGTCAGTGTGTGTGGTGTGTGTTTGTGACAATTTCCAGGGTTCAGGTGAGTGTAATATTTGGTGATCATGTAAAACACTATGTGATCACTAGCGGGCAGTGATTGCTTGCCCTCAATGGGACTTTTCCCCAATGTAAAGTGTGGTTGTTGGTGTGTATGATGAAAGGGGGAAGTGTGTGTGTGTGGTGGTGGGGGGGAGTGGTGTGTGGGGTGGGGCAGTGTGTTGGGGTGGGGGAATGTGTGTGTGTGGGGGGAGAGGTGTGTGTGGTGTGTGGGTGGACATGAGTGTGTGAGGGGGCAGTGTGTGTGGTGGTGGGGTGAGTGTGTGTGGAGGGGGGGGGTCGTGTCCTGACTGACCCATTGCTCCCCCAGGTGATGAGACACCCAGACCAACGTGTCCTCCTCTGTGTACTTGTGGGCGCATCATGAGAAGCTGGTGGTG